GGTAAAAGAAACGCGGCAATACAAGGGAAAGGGAAAAAAAAAAATTAAAAATAAAATTCAAAGGCAAATGCACGCGGCGGTTCCAAAACCACAATCCAACCTCATCACAGAGTGAGATACATACAGGGAAGGAAAACAAAAACAAGACGAGGCAACAACGAAGACATACACACACACACACACTCACACACACACACACACTCAGGAACACACACACACTTGACGTGGCAACAGAAACGATAGGAAGACGAAGCACGGGGACTTGTGGGAGGGCACACCTGATGCGAGAGTGCGGTCGGGTGGAGGGGAAGGTCGCCTATCCGCGTTCCGTGAAAGGGTATGGGCAATCGTTCAACAGCTACGATGAGCAAATGACGAATCGCATGTCCCGCACCACGACCACAACCTCCCCTTTTTGTAACGAACATGTGTGTGTGTGTGTGTGTGTGTGTGTGTGTGTGTGTGTGTGTGTGTGTGTGTGTGTGAGATGATATTCGCAAAACAGAGCTCGTAAAAAATAAAAAAAAGGGGTGACTTCAGTAGAGTCACAAAAACGAGTTGTAACGGCACTGTGGGCCAAGATACAGTTTGCAGTTGCACTTGGGACACCCTACACCTTGCCAGAAAACTGGGTTGTATACATTGCCCGAACTGCAATTCGAAACTGCATCTTGGACCGTACTGCAATTATAACTCAGTTTTGTGACGCCCGAGTAGTTTCCCCAAAAAAGGAACAAGAAGAAAACGTAACAATATCGGGGCTCTCTCTCTCTCTCTCTCTCTCTCTCACACACACACACACACACACACACACACAGTGTGTCTATCTCTTGCGGAATCCCAGCAAGACACAAGCACAAACCCCGACGAGGGCAGCGGAAAAAAAAAACGGGGAAAACGCACACACACAAAAAAAGGATGAAATCCATAGAGAACCAGCGTTTGGGGGGGAAGCACGGCAGAGGTGGATATGGATGATGTGCGGAGCAGCGCTGGCGGGCAGCAGAAGTGATCGAAGCAAAGGTAAAGGTGCAAGTAGGGGACATCTCGTATGGGATATAGGGCATGGGTTCACTGTTTTCTAAACGTGGAAAATGATAGTGAATCCACCGGTAGAACATGGAAAGATACATTGCCATCTTGGATTCTACCCAGGATGTGGACAGTCATGTTCAGAGGCCATATGTGTCATCTACGATGGTCAACGATGACCAGCCGGGTTCGGGACGATTGCCACGTCATAGACCCCAGACGGCCACGCAGGAGGACGACACCGAAGGTGGAGATGTTACAAATTTGTGCTCCATAATTTGATAATCTGAGTGGTCTTATGAAGTGGCCTCTTTTAGGGGCCCTCGTCGTAATTTACTTATTCCTAACTCGGAAATACTGTTGATACGAAGTATTGCCTCCACGTAGCATCCTCTCCCAGACAGCCACGCAGGAGGACAACAGGGAAGGTGGAGATGTTACAAATTCGTGCTCCATTATTTGACAATCTGAGTGGACTTATCAAGTGGCCTCTCTTAGGGGTCCTCATCGTTTTTTTTTTTTTTTTTGTTTTTTTTTTTTTTGAGGGCCGCGCTGCACTCTGCTGCAGTGCAATACAGAGGCAACGCTGAAGGGGTCGAGCAAGCAAGCTTACCCGTACAACCCCCCCTAGCCCAGAAAAATTAATTTAATATCGTGTGGTCCGATGGACCACGGATCAGATATTAAACTGATCAGAACAGAAACTACACTTGATCTTAGCCAAAAGGCGGAGAAAGGTCAACATCGCAGTGATTGTTGGCCCATGTGTGTGTATGGGCATGTGCAGAAGTTTATGTGAGTGAGTGTTGGCCATCAGGCAACGAACAACCAGAATCATAACAGTTGGTCAAGTATAGTNCAGAAAAATTAATTTAATATCGTGTGGTCCGATGGACCACGGATCAGATATTAAACTGATCAGAACAGATACTACACTTGATCTTAGCCAAAAGGCCGAGAAAGGTACATTGGTCCTCATCGTTTTACTTATTCCTAACTCGAAAATACGGTTGATACGAAGTATTGCCTCCACGCAGCATCCGCAAGGAGCAGTACACGCACCACAACTGTACGGAAACCCAGAAAACCAAACGGGGAAAAAAAAAAAAAAAAAAAAAAAAGACCCAGAAAACGGAATGGAAAAAAGAAAGAAAAGAAAGCCTAACACTTATATCTGTAGGGAACTAAAGTGCATTTGGTCCTCAGAAAAAGAAAAAAAAAAAGTGCATTTGGTGGCAGTCCTCTGGAACGGACTGCCGGTGGAAGATGTCCCTTCATATGGGCCTGCTTTCAGTCCGAAGTGCCAAAACGCGGTACCGGCACCTATGGACCTGCTTTCAGGCCGAAGTGCCAAAATGCGGTACCGGTACCAGTACCAAAAATTTGCACGAACAGACACAGCTTCGGGGGAAAACGGCGCGCAGCGCATGTTGAGGCTCGGCTTCAATAGCTAGGCCAAAAGCACTGGTGGTTCCGGGGGGGGGGGGGRGGAAAAAGAAAAAAAAAAAAGCCCCTTAGGCTGCGAATGGTGGTAACCCTTTTGTCCTTAGCTTCGTTGTCTCCCTCGGTCATTGGGCGGCGTCTCCCTCGGTCGTTGGGCGCTGCACTGCGCTCTCGAAGGGGGTGCTCTCCAATGTGTCAGAAAAGACCCGGCCTTTTTGGAGAGTGCAGTGCTGCGGTGTGCAAGGGAAAAGGGAAATCAAGGGTGTAGCATCAGGCAGGGGACACGATGCTTGGGCCCACACAGGGTCCGGAAAGACCTCACACGACAAAACGCTGGCCACAGAGTCTGACGGTTGTCTGTCGCGGCACACTCTCCAAATTCGGGCCAAAGCAGAATTCGGAGGTGCCTTTGACCACTCTCGAAAGTGGCCACTTTGCAGGCCGGGCAAGGACCACAGTTCGCGAGCACTCCTGAAACCAGCTTTTCTGGTGGCTCTGGTTTTTTTTTCTGACACCGATTCTCGAGAGTTGGTATGGCTATGCTTTTCCTCTCCAAATCTGTGTTTTCGGGATAGGTGTGGCGATGCCCAAAGTTTTGAGGGGGTGTTGTGGGGTCAGGCAGTGCGGAGCACACCTAAGCGTGCGGTTTTGTGGCTTTTGGAGACAGGAAAGGGCAGATACCGGTAGGAAAGGTTCTGAAGGGTGTGGAAGGGGCAGCAATGAAGGTGTACATCTTTTTTTGTTGCCGGGTTGCAGTTCAGGGCCGCATCGAAGGCAGGTCTTACCTTCTTTTTTTTTTTTTTTTTTTTTTTTTTTTTTTTTTTTCCCCCCCTTCAACAACCCGAGTAAATGCTAGGGGTGCTGATAGGAGCAGACACCACTAGCACGCTCGAGGAGGCTCCATCTATTGGTGGGGAGCGGCAGGTTTTACCTCTTGTGGCGGCCGTCACAGTGGCACTTGTGTACCATTTGTTTTTTTCTATTTTGTGGCCTCGTAGCACTTGTGTAGCTGCTGTAGCATTTGTTTCTCCCTCTTTTGTGGCCACAGAAAGCACTTGTGAAGCGTTTATTTTTACCCTGTTTTATGGCGGCACTAACAGCAGCACCCCCCAACGAGCGGTTCTTTTTTCCGCTTTGTTGGATCTGTATCTGACAGCAATGTAGGCGACAGCAGCACCCCGAGGAAGGCAGGTTTCAGGGCGCAGCCAGGAGGTTGTGGGAGCACCACCCGACTTTCTGTATCTGACCGCAGTATAGGCCACAGCAGCACCCCGAGTAAGGCGGGTCTGACGGCGCAGAGACTGTAGCACCATCCTATCTTTTCTTCTTTCTTCTTTGGGGCAACTGCATTTATGGGCCTCGCCAGACTACTCACCAATTGAATCTGGAAAATGTTTGGTGAGTGCTCACCAACACAGAGAGGACTCAAAACCTCACCAAACCCAGGCCGCACCGCACCACCTAGCAGAAACAGGTACTTTTATGTCACTATTTGATTTCGAAAAGGCAGAAAAAAAACGCAGTCGGGAACTTCGTCATGGTTTATGGACAAAGCCTTCCAAGCATTCACAATGATAATCGACCTGCAAGGAGGGTACTAGAGAAGAGAAGGGAGACAGGAAACAGGGGGAGGAGGAGGATAAAGAAGAAGAAGAAGAAGAAGAAGAAGAAGAAGAAGAAAGGGACAATAAGACTCAACACGACCACAGAAAGACAGAATAGAAGCTCATCCCAAAGTCCCGACACGCGCCTTAAAATTAACGATACTGCCGAACACATCGAAAAATGATCGTGAAGCTTGGCGCAGCGACCCTACGCTGCGTTTCATCTGGCCGCCAGGGTCTCTTGTCGCTTAGGAAAAGGGACTGAGCAGATAGAGAACGCCTTTTAAATATTCCTTAGAGACAAGCCTAGGATAGAAAAAGCCCTATATCAAGAGAGTCTGACAGGTACCAGAAAAGGAGTCCAGATACAGTAGCCAAAAAAAGAAGATAGGGGAAGACCAGGACCAGGTTCCTGGACAGAATCCATAATCACAAATCACACGGCCATACGTTACTCAGACCCTTAGTGGTATCCAACGCCAACTTCCCAAGCATCCACTTGTCGCAAAGACCCTACATAAGTTTTCGGGAAACGGATTCAGTTTTTCAGAGGAAAAAGAAAAAGAAAAAGAAAAAGGAAAAGAAAAAGAAAATGAAAAGGAAAATGAAAATGAAAAAGAAAAAGAACAACAAACACAAACACCTAAAATCAGGGCCTGGCCCGAAGGCCGGTAAGCCCTTCACCTAATCTTTAAGCCAACCAAACCCCTGCCTGCCAATCACCCAGTCTCGTGCTTCAGATTTCCACAGAGCGGTAAGCAGGCCCCGCCCACACTATGCGTGCCAACCATCCCCCGGGTTCCCACTGCCCTCCCAAACAGTTTTCCCCAGTTGGTCAGAACTGCCACCCAATCATCCCAGATTCCTGCTAATTTCCTAGAGAAGACCCTAAGTCCATTGTCAAAGATTCCTGCGAATTTCCTAGAGAAGGCCCTGAGTCCATTGTCAAAGTACTCATCAGGAAAGCCTCGTTTTCGAAGCTCAATTTTCAAAGTGAACAGAAAAGCCTGGTCCTGGTCTTTCCCTATCTTCTTTTTTTGGCTACTGTATCTGGACTCCTTTTCTGGTACGTGTCAGACTATTGATATCGGGCTTTTTCTATCCTAGGCTTGGCTCTAAGGAATACTTAAATGGCGTTCTCTATCTGCTCAGTCCCTTTTCCTAAGCGACAAGATACCCCGGCGGCCGGATGAAACGCAGCGTAGGGTCGCTGCGCCAAGCTTCACGATCATTTTTCGATGTATTCGGCAGTATCGTTAATTTTAAGGCCGAATGGTCGCGTTTTGGGATTTTGGGATGAGCTT